ACTATAAATCCAGCTTATGTTGGCTAGCCTAGCTCCATAAATTTGAAATGAATAAAAACCAACTAAACTTCAAACTGACAGTCCAAACCATAACAGTGTTGAATATAAATTATTAAATCAAAAGATAATTCAAATATATTTTATAAATCCATAAGTGTGACCAGTGAGTATTTTGAAAAAAGTTAAAGCAATACTAAGAACAAAGAGTAATTGATTTTAAATAACTTATTCCTCCTTAATATAGGGACAATTATTTGACATATCTCCTGTTAATATCCTGCTTGGGAATATTAGGGTTTCCAGAATATATGAAATAGGACCTATTTATAAGGACTATCACTGCCTTGCATCATAGATAATATTATACAATTAACCACAAGCAAAGGAAATATAATAATTCTAAAGTAAAAAGAATACAGAATTGTTTACATGATTAGAAAGAAAAATATTTCTGGCCAACATAACTAATAACCTATATACTATTTATAACATAGTTTCCTGTGGTTCTTATTCATAATATATTATGAATATAGCTGAGCAATCGTAGATCCACATACATGGAGTACAACATTTTTAACGAAGGTATTTGGTAAAAAATATTGAGTGGACTATATTCTTAGACCTAACACCCAGTTAGAACAGAATAATGCCCAGTTTATCAATTGTTTATTAAATTATTGCATCTTTTAAATTGCATTAAATGAGCCATACTTTATACTGATACCTCCTAAGCATACTGACAATATTATGTCAATCTTAGAATAATCTTAATCTTAAAAGGTTAAGAGGATTAAGAACGAGAAATATGAAATCTAACAATTCAGCCTCCTGTTTGCAAAAGTTATGTGTGAATAAGAAATTAAAAAAAGGATATAATAGCATTAGCATCATGGATTGAAGATCATAACTAGAATAGAGTATCTATTTTTGTAAAATGTAACGACTCTAAAGATCTGGCACTGAATGTATTTTAAACTTAAAACAATCTTCAGCAAATAATTTGAGTGCAAATGCATTCTAAAAATAACAATACAAGAAAGTTACTTAAATTGTTTAAACCATGGCCTAAATTTTATAATAATATGAATATTGTTAAATATTCTTCCAATGTTATCCTATATGATTTCTGACAATTTCTGTATTTACAACATTTTTTTAAATGAACTCCCATAAATGAATGAACTTTTACTGTACTATTTGACTTAGAATATAATATTCTACTTGTTTTAAAAATGTACACTATTTAATTATATTTATCTTTCCATTACAGATAAATCTACATGCTATATGATCTGCAGTTCTGATAAACTCATGGTAAACTTAAGAAATACTTAAATGAATAATAAAGCAGTTGAATTAGAAATGCAAAAATGAATTTGATCAAGACATCAAGTTTGTAACAGCTCCCCTTATAAGGAGTTGGTACATACAGATAGATATTACTTTAAAAAAAGTTTCAACTCTTCCATCATGGATAGTAATGATATTGTTGAAAACAGTAGTGTTTCAGATTTAATTATAAAACTTTGTAATAACTTGGCAAAAAATAATCAAGGTTAGTATATTTTTTATTTATTTTATTAGTTGATTGTTTATGGGAATATTGTATACTATCAACTAACTGTTTTTGTTAGTTAATTGATGTCGAATTTTTTTATTATTAAAATACTCTATTCCAGTAGTACTTCTAGCAGAGCAGTATGTACCAAAATAAAAAAACAAAAACAAAAATCATTATTGATCATCACCATGACACTACAGCTTTCAAAGTTGGCTTTCTGAAGTTTTCTCCATCATACTCAATTTAGAAAATTTGTCATTTGCTACTAAGCTTTGGCCTAATATAAGAGTTTTAGTAATTTTGTTGATATTGCCGTAATAAGTTGTCATTTTGATAGTAAGAAATGCCTTTTACGAAGAAATGTTTTAAATTAATTAAAAATGTGTACAGTAGGATAAATGTCAAGTAACTACTTACTTATGTTTACTTAAAAAATTCCCTAACCAGTGCCTCGTCTCTCCAGCTGAGTACTGGTGTGAGGCAACTATATTACTATGTATTAAAATATAACTTTAAAGCCACACTCAATTTAATACAATAGTGCCAAAGTTAATCTTTTTAAGTGAAAAATGGAATCAGATAAAAACGCAGAATGGTACTTAGTAGTCCATTTACGAAAGTTGCTAATGTTTTGGACAGTTTGTTAGCTGAACCGGTGGACACACGACCCTGGCAGAAAATTAACATACAGTGAGAGCTTTTACAAGTAAAGTAAAATGAGCTTTGTGAAGTGGAAAGTGCGGTACTTGAAAGTACCACATGTTTACCAGAAGATATGATTCGACTATGGCATAGATCTTCACAGTTTTTAAGGCCTTATTTTCAATGTCTATGGAAAATATCGGAGAAACTACAGAAGTTACAACTTTAGAAACTGTGAGTGGGCTAATAAGCTTTTTCCAGAGAGAAGTTCAAAATGAATAAAAAAATTATTTAGCAACGGAAGGTTTTGCTTTGCTGACTGAAAATAAATCTAAATTCAATAGCCTTGTTGCCAAGAAAAATGTAAAATTACCTTAGCAAGGGACTGATTAGCCCTTGCTGCTGGGTTAATAAATTATGAGTTTTACAGGTGTATATTTTTATTATAGGTAATTTTTTGTACTTGAAATTTAAATTTAGTTTTAATTATTGTATTTGTAATTTATTACAAACCCGGAATCTTTTGCAGGAAGTTACTATGGGACGTTCCACATGTAACAAAAAAATACACTTTTTAGTGTTCACATCTATTTTCAATACTTAGAAATGATAAAAAACAGCATATCAGAAGTTTAATGATTTTTATTCAGAAATTTTTTGTTTTTGTCAACCGTTTTCGGTAAAAAGCAGTCATAAAAAAAGCTATTGAGCTTTTCTGTCATTCGAGCCCAGTTCTTCATCTCGCTAATTTTTTTTCAACAAACAGGGGCTCTGTATCATTAACATATACTACAAAGTAGCTATAATTTTCTCGAGCAATATTAAGCTGGAATTGAATCTAAAAATATAAATATTATATTTTCTAAAAATATGTAAAAAATTGTAAATATGTAATTATTCCTATTAAATTAACAAATCATTTGAAATTGACCATCAGAATGCTAATGGTACTAACCATTTATTAATTTACAATATTTTTGTAGCTTTAGCACCAACATTATGTAGAGTGGCCTTTAACTTTTTATCATCAAAATCTACAACGCTAGGAGCTAGTAATGTGGTTGATGAATCTTATATTGTGTCTCAAATAAAACAAAAACTCACGACTCAGTCAAAAGAAAAAGTCGACAAATTTGAAGTACTGTATTCAAAACTATGTGAATCTGTAAGTATCTAATGCTTAGTTTCATAATATTTAAGTAAATGTAAAAATTATCGTATTACATTTTCAAATGGTAGAATTCATTTTTTATTTTTGTAATTTCATACTTTTCATTTCATAATCGTTATCGTCCTCAGTAGTGCCAATAGAGGCTGACAAATCGTTTTAAATACATCAAAGCGATAGCAAACTTTAGCTTGATGAAAATTAACAAAATACCAAACAGTATCAAACAATATTGATACATTATTCTTGGTCATCAAACTAGATGGCACCTTTGTAAGCTATCACTTGAGTGGGAAACAGTTAGGAGACATTTGTTGGTATTTCAGGTTTGATTTTGTATTTAGTCACAGCGTCTGATGAGGCCATGGAAGACTGGCCTCTACATTTAGATTTCTGAGTTCTTGCATGATTTCCTGTCGTTTATTTACAATTTTTTGTATGTTCCATCCTCCGAAATTCATAGTCAACTTTAGTTGCCGTTTTAGTATACTGTAAATTCTGTTCGATATCCGTGTGTTATATGTTATAAGATCGCTGGCGTTACGACTTAATCCATGTTCTTGGAGCGCCGAATTTTCTTTCGGAGTTTATTCCCCTAGCCGATATAGTTCAAGTTTTAGGCGTTATAATCTCCCCTTTCTTCCCCTCTCGTCAGTAGTTACGCCCCAAAAGCCTTTAGGGACATGAGAGTAGGTTTTGCTGGCAGAGGCTCAGTTCGATTTCTAGAACTCCCGACTTTTTCATCGAAAACAGTGGACGTTACTCGAAGTTTTATTATAGTATGAACATCGGCAACACACACTGCCTCCACGATTCTTTACTCACCTCAAACTACCGCATTTTTTCCCTCTTACTAATTTTGATTTTGATTCTTTTTCTTCACACAATTATTTTTTTCTTTACTGATATTCCTTCTGGTATCTTTTATAATTTTGTACAGTATCCATATTAAAGTTTGTATATTAGAGCAACAGATAAGTCAGCGTCTGTTGACGCTGTAGAGAATAACGTTGTTCTGAAACTATTTTCTTGTGGCATCTTCATACAATCTACTATTTTTACTGGAAATAAACCACAATTTTGAAATATGTTTATTTTAATGTTTCGATTTCCACTTCAGAAGTGAAAATTTCCATTAGACGGGTAAAGGCGAAACGGCGTTTCCATAAGAGAATAACGGCTCAAAGTTTGTGATAAGTTGTAAAATTTTTGTGATTTCTAATTGTTTATGTAGGATGTATTGAATTGTTTATATAGGACGTATTAATATCGCTGGTTAAATAATTAAAATTACGAAAAATGAAATTTTGTAAATGTGAATAAAATTAACAATTGATTGAAAATAAGAAAAACATTTGGCATGACCCATAAAATGTTATCTGGACAAAGAAATCACTTACCATTTGAATATGGTATATGGTAGAAAGTCTAAAGGCAGGAAGGTGACTTAATTATTTCTTGTGAACCATCATCATCTTTGGAACGACAATCCTCTGAGGATCCTGGCTTGCTCTAAGATTCGTCTCTATTCTGTTTAGTTTCTGATTATGTATTGTCATCTCTTGATCTACAGTATCATTAAGTCGGTCTCAACTCCATCTAACCAACTAGCCATCTAACCAATATGTAAGTTTCGAAGAACTACAGACCATGAAGACACAACTATTTCAAGTGTCAGAAAAAGTAGGTCTTAAGATAAACTTGAAAAAAAAAAAAAACAAAAATAATTACAAATATATCGAACATTAGAGAAATAACGTTGAACGATATAAATTTAGAAACAGTAAGCGAATATATCTACCTGGGACAGATAATAAAAGTTAACAAATAAAATCAAACTGCCGAAGGTTTGGAAAATTGAGTTGGATCTTGAAAAGCACTAAAATAGAACAATATTTTACATTCACAGGGCATGGTCTTATTTTGCCAGGCAAGACGTAAAAGTTTATGTAGTGCTTGTAGCAGGGCGTCGCCACCATTTTTGTAGAACTCACTACGAATTTGATCTGTTCCGGTGCTTTATTATTTTAAAGCTTTTTAATGGCTTGGGCAACCTCTTCAGTGGTAGGTGGTCTTTCGTTTGGGTTGAATATATTCCAATCAATTCGATCTGCTATGATGTTATCTGCTTCTTAGATATAATGACCGTTAAATTTTGCGTCGAAAAATTTAACCCATCGGTTCAAGATTGAGGCCGTATCACTTAGATATTTGCTTCTTCATCCTTACAGCTCCCTATTTTTGTCTTAAACTCTTTACTAATTTTGTTTACATTTCTGTAAAACGTTCGAGTTTTGTTTTGATTTCTTAACTATTCTATGTTTTCCAACTGATTTTCTTCAAATTATTTTTTTTTCTTCTATGTAATCTTTTTTCTGGTCTTCTTAGGGTCCGCTATTCCTCCTTTGCTCTTGTTGTGCATCTAGCTTGATTTATCTTTAGGCATGTTCTATTTTTTTATCTGTTTTGTAACCATCATTGGTAAATATTTCTTGGCATTCTTTTATATACATTTTTACTTCTGCAAAATTGTAATGTAAACATAGCAAGAAAGTAAAGAATTAAAATAAAGGTTAGTAGCATAGGGGAGAATAATAATCATTTTAATGATTATTATATATTCCAAATCAAATAAGGGATAATTAATACAGTAAAGTATACATTTTAAATTACACAAAGAAATTGACCTAGTTAGTGCATTGTTTGATAATTGTTTAAACGTAGAAAAAGCACGTCAAACAGAAACTGTTGTTGTAAAAATAACACCGCTCGTGACCCAAATGAAGCATAGAATTACTAACTCAGCGAAAACGCAACCTTGGTACTACAACCGGTCAATGAGGACACGCGTTGATAAAAACCAAACTAAGGAGGCCAAGCAGGGACTAGTACGGCGGAAGCGATCAGTAATAGCGGGGCACCGTGACTGGCCGCTCAGGCAGTATTGCCGGCATCGGGTCGGACGCGATAGCGTCCCGTACGCATAGGCAGTCGGTGTCTTCGGGCAGGATTGTTAATACGAGAGTCGGCACCAGGTGCGGATTACGCGCGATTGTTATATTTCGACGGGGTATAGTTCCGTATAAGTGTCGGGTACTGAAAGAAATCCGATTTCCAGAGGAACTGAAGGGCGTATCATTAGCTAGAGCCTAAATACGCGAAAGGTAACAAAATTCTATATACTAACCCGAGTAAATTATAGTATTACAGATTGTCACCCCTTTACTTTCTTGCTAAGATCTCTTCTCGTCTCCCTTCGCGCCGAACGAGTTATTATTAATTATATCTGACAGCTTGTTAACTTAATTGTAAACCACATAGTATATTCAATACATTTGTAGACTCTAAAATTGGTTTTTATGTTCCTTCCGACCGATTCAGACAGAGACCAGAAGAGTACCAAATTTCGGCTTATACATTTATCCGGCTTCTAAAGTAAGCCCATAGACTCAAACTCTTTACAGGACCTGAGACCTAGAAGTCCTTAACCCCTATTCCGAAGTTCCTTACCTTCTCGTAAATCCACGAAGGCGAGCCAGCCCTTCAAACTAGTGGGACCAGTATTCCTTGCAGCCGCTCGCATGGATAAGCATCCTTTAAGGTTCATTACCAGTATATTACAGTGGTAACAGCGTTGTACAGTGGTGAAGATTTTCTCACCCTCTAGTTCCAGATTTTTACAATAGGGTATAAACCTCCATAGAGTTGTACAGTGGTGACAGCGGAGCCCCAGTAGTTGTACATATGGCGACAGCGGGAGCCCCAGTATATTACAAAATACCAACCAAAGATCTTTTCTTTTTACAGGAAGAAAATTTTATTTTTTTGTGAAAGGATTTTTACATTGCCACATGGTAACATAGTTAGTGGATCCATTCAGACATTATATCCAGAAGCATATTTTACCTTTCTCTGAAAGTAGATTCTGTTAGGAATTACCTTGGGCCACAGAAAAGACTCAACCCAGACTGCAGGGTACAAAGACCTGGTACACAGACAGATCTAAAATTGCTGAAGAGTCAGGAACAGGAATATTCAGTAGTGGTGAAAATTTAAACATTTCTATTTCACTAGGAGAATATACTTCTGTATTTCTGGCAGAGATTTTTGCAATGGTTTAAACTGCAAGATAAATTAACATGAGGGCTTTCTTACTAAAGCGGATCAATATATACATAGATAGTCAAGCGGCTATGGGGACTCTTAGAAGCCTTAAGATATATTCTAGACGAGTGTGGAAATGTCTAGAAGATATTGACAGACTAGTGGAGCATAACAGTATCACATTGGTATAGGTTCCATGTCATCGAGGAGTACATGGCAATGAGGAGCTAATGAACTTGCCAGAACAGAATCAGCTATAAAATATTTCGGTCAGATGCCGGTCGTAGCACTTATTAAAAAACTATATTGGGATCAAATGGCATCTATCAAAATAGACAATCGTCTGACAGCAGAATTGCCAATAAAAAGAGGAGTTCGTCAGGGCTGTGTACTTTCTCCACTGTTATTTAATATATATTCCGAAAAGATCTTTCAAAATGCCCTCGAAAATATTGAAGAAGGAATAAAAATCAACGGAGAATACGTAAACAACTTAAGATACGCAGACGACACCGTCATTATTGCGGACAGTGCTGAGGGTTTACAACGACTTTTGAATGTCATAACCAGAGAGGGAGATAGCTTGGGACTAAATATAAACACAAATAAAACAAAAGTGATGGCTGTTACACGTACACCAAATGTCGACATTAATATTCGTATCTATAACAAACATATAGAACCAGTACAAAGATTCCAGTATCTTGGTTGCTGGATAACAAACGATCTTGACCACGAGGTCGAAATACGTGCTCGTATAGAATATGCTAGGTCCGCATTTCAGCGAATGAAAAAAAATTTCTAATAAACTCTACGTTATCGTTGGACATCCGATACCAATTTGTAAAAACGTTTATTTATTCCATATTGCTATACGGAGTGGAAACATGGACTCTCGGAATTACAAGTATGAGGCGTATAGAAGCCTTTGAGATGTGGGTTTTTCGAAGAATGCTGAAGATCTCTTGGACAGAGCACGTGACCAACAACGAGGTGCTAAGAAGAATGGGTACTGACAGAGAACTCCTAAATATTGTAAAAAACCGAAAAACGAGTTATTTAGGACATATCTACAGAGGAGAAAAATACAACTTCCTACGACTTATAATGGAAGGGAAAGTGGAAGGAAGAAGAGGTCCAGGAAGAAGAAAATGCTCCTGGTTGAAGAACATAAGAGACTGGACAGGCATGGACACACATGCGATACTAAGAACAGCTCAAGATAGAGAGCAATTTGCTGTAGTTATAGCCAACCTTCAGTAATGGAGAAGGCACCTTAAGAAGAAGAAGCCGGTCGTAAGATTGCCAAAAAGTATCAACCGCAACTAGAAAAAAGCCTGGACCGAATACAACATAACTATCACTGGGAAAGTATACCCGGTCAAGCAAATGGCAAAGTGTATATTGGATAATAGAGTTCACAGGATTTCTTACTGGACATGCGTACAATGGATCTTCTTCATGGAGAATTACTGCATGCTGTGTAGCAGATAACAGTATGTAGCAGATACCTGACACATTCAACTATAATTTGCTTGATTAAGAGGCCCAGATAGCAGTCGAAAGACACTTTTTGGAGACTACTAGACCTGTCGAAGTTGGTCCAGGGTTTCGGGATTCTGGAATGGATATCGTGATTGAATCGAAGATGTACAATAAGCCAAATGGTTGCAGTTACCTGACACATTCAACTATAATTTGCTTGATTAAGAGGCCCAGATAGCAGTCGAAAGACACTTTTTAGAGACTACTAGACCTGTCGAAGTTGGTCCAGGGTTTCGGGATTCTGGAATGGATATCGTGATTGAATCGAAGATGTACAATAAGCCAAATGGTTGCAGTTCGGCGGCTTTAAATAGATGGCTGCCTAAAAAAGTTTTTACTCTTACAAATTTCGACGACTAGGTATCCTATTCTTAACTTCCTTTCAGTATTGAAGGAATTTCTTCATTCATTTGTGTTTTACCAAGCTTTGTAGCATGGTTTTATTAAATTTAAATTTTCAATTTTTAAAAATTTTCCTCCGAGGCTTAAACCTACCATAAGCGTCAAGAACAATTCATTAATCTTTTGTGGCGCATAAGCGCCATTTCAACAAGACGTATGGTAATAATAATTTCATTTAAAGTCAGAATATCATTTTAATAGTTGATATTTCTATGAAATGTATAAAGTATTCAAATAAATATACCTTAATAATTTTCAGACTATACTAAACAATAGATACGCCTATTTGTGTTTTTTATACAACATATCGGATGATGGATTAAGACCATCTGAAGTACCTTCTTGGAGTTCAATCTCCAAGGACTTGGAAAGAATCAAATCGCATATTAGTCTCACACCGTCCAATTCCCAAGAAAGTGCTAAACATTTTTCAGATATCCAAGACAGAAAAAAGTATAGTAATGGGTCACACTCAGGCCATTTTAGTAGTTTAGCGATTACAAGGGCTCATTCACAAACAACAACCATATCATCACACTGGTCTAAGAATGATATTCCAAGTTCTTCTAAAGTTATTAGTAAGTATGGATATTTTATTATATAAAATATTGTTTATATTTTATTACAGTAATCGCCAGCTTGAAAGGAATAACGCCTTGAATCTTAAGTATTTTCGAATGTTACTGAGATGTGGTTCATGGATGATATTTAATTATTTATAACACAATATAAAACTATCTCATATTATCATCAACTTCATCTAGATTGCTGCCAGACGTAAACCTCATTTTGAATGCTTCCATAGTTCTCATCTTGTGCACTTTGTATCCAGCTTGTATAGATGTAGTTGGAGGGTACTCTCGCTTTCTAAAGGCACCTTTTCTGGGCCTCTACTCGATAAATTTCTTAGTTCACCTATTATCGTCCATTCTTACGATTCCATTTTTGGTTTGTTATTCTTTGCACAGCATCTTCTACTTCCGTTCTTATTATAGAATTTTGTATTTGGAATACGATTTCTTTGATATAGGACCAACATTGATCGTTCCACCGATTAATATGTGGTTATTATTTTTTTAACTGTTCTTTTTGCAGGGTTAGGGTTTCTGCACCATATGTGAGGACAGGTAGGGCATTTTGATTAAGGGGACAGTCTCATGCGATTAAAAAAAAGACACATTTTAAAATTAAAACAGAAAAAAAAACTATAATATTTATTAACATAATTCCTTTTGGAGATGATTAAGTAAGTCTTGAAGTACATAAAAAAAATTTTAATAGCGATTTTAACTTCATTGGTGTCCTGTAGATGGCGTGTAGTAACAAGTGCGTTTTTGGTGGTAAGACACTTTGTGGGTCACCTGTAACAGATATTCAAAAAATTCAAAATGGCTTGTATTCGTGAGACTCAAAACTAGATGATAAACCTTTAAAATATGCAAATTGTATTATTTTGAAGAGTTTATACGAATTTTTTCAAAAAAGTCGAAAAATCGCTATATTTTTCGGTGGATTTACCCATATATAATAAAAGGGGGGGGTGGTTTTTAAATATTTTAAAGGTTTATCATCTAGTATTTTGTATGTACATTCGAAAAATTTTTGGTTTTTTAAAATCGGTTAAGAAGGTTCGGAGAAAAGTGTCTGACCAGTTTGAAAATGTTACTTTTGAGAAAAAAGCATTTAAAGTTTTTTTTACATAATTTTCGTGAATAAAAGGCTGATAATTTTATACTCACGTTTAATCGGCCATTCCTGGTGAATATTGAGGACCCTCTTCATCCAACAGTTGTTGTAAATGGCTTTGTAAAGCTGTAAATTTCAATACAACGTCGCGATGTTTTATAATTAATTCATTTGTTCATGCTCGACTGGAGTCAATTCACGCCGCGATGCTGCCAGTGTAAGTGTAAAAACGGAACACATCTAGATCGCATGTCAATTCAACGAAAACGTACTTATTTATAAATGTAGATATGAAAATATTTTATAACTAAAAAAATGGTTATGTTTTATTGCCAAAACGGCTTGAAAAAAAAGTTGATTTCTAAAATAAAAAATAAAAAGTAATTTTAAAAATAAAATAATTATATTACACTCTTTTTAATTTGAAATTATAAACAATATTTGGAATAATAAATGTATTTAAGTATAAATTTTATAACTCAAATAATAACTAATGAACACAAACAAAATTGATGTTAATAAAACATTATTTATTATCTGCACAAAACCGGACTTTCAGGAAAAATCGGTAGACGGAGCAACACTGTCGGCGTGCCATATACGCTACTATCGGCGTGCCATATACGCTACTATAAACCGCTAAGGAGAAGTAATCCAGTGGAACAAATAAATTTACACTGGTTAATTGCAACGCAGAGAATCTTAGGATTTGTAAAAAAATCCTATGTTCCGGATTTAAAATTCCAAATCCAAATGTGTATAGCAAACGCCAAACGTTATACAGATATACATACTATATAAAAATTAATCACTAATAGGTACATACCCAACGTATATACAACATATATACAAAAGCAAGAACAGGTGGAGCCACGCGCTCGCCGCGCGGAGAGAAACCGGTTTTCATACGTGCGTAGATGACGTTAATAAAATAACTATAACTTATATTCTAGTGGGAATTTCTTTTTAAAATTTTAGGAGGGAGTTTTTGAATGTATAGGGAAGCGATTTATAAAAAAAAATAAAATTGATTTTTTGAAAGTTTCGCATGAGACTGTCCCCTTAATAACTATCCGTTTAATAAGAAATATTGTAGCGAAAAAGTTGACAAAAGTTGATATTAAAAAGCTTTTCTAAAAACTAGCTAAAAGTCTGAAAGAACGAAGAGGAAATATAAATAAAAAATAAAAAGTTATTTTAATTCTAGATTAGAAAACTCGCTATTATCTTCTTTACAATAAAATGCTAAGGTTCTTAATGTGCTAAGTGACTGCACAAAAACCAAACAAAAACTCAAAAAACTTACATTTCCACAAACCTTCTGTTGGTGACATGAACGAAAATAAAAACGCAAAAACCAAAACACCAACCATCAAGCAGTAGTCTAGCACAGTTGAAACAAATCTGAACTTACTATCAATAAACTGGTTGCCTAAAATATTCAGACTCTAACATAAATCCTAAGTAATACCAAAACAAAAAAGTTATCATTAAAATAATCTAAGTGCAGATCTGATGAAACAGTACATCAACAATTATCAGTACGGGATTGAAAAAGAACAACAAAAAAAACACGAGTAAAATCTTAAATGCGAAAGTACAATTATCATCTCCTTTATTGTAGGGAAAAGTAAACTTGAACATTTTCCCGTTCAACGGAAACAAAAGAAATAAAAATACTATAACAAACAAGATATGCTCACTTCCCATTCTAATTTTAGTCAACTTTGCGCATGACGTCATAGCGAGACAAAGCCGGGAACTTGTGTGTATCTTATTTTAACGATGCATCATAAGGCAACGTTGTGTCATTACTGTAATGAACAACAAAATAAATATTGCTAAATAACATAAATTAAATTAAATATAAAAGGCCGGTAAAATGTAAACAATTTGAAACATACAGGAAAGGCGTGTCATACTTTAGACTTTATGAATATCATATAGACATTTATTTTATAATCTTCGTGATTTTTCTCTTGCAGATATTGTAATTATCTGTACTATTTTTATTTAGAATTCGTATTTTAAAATACATTTTACATCTAAAAAAAGTAATTTTACATCTTCACTAACATTTATATTTTTGCAGCTTCTATCAGGTTTTTCAAATAATCTGTAGTTATTTTTAATGTTGTTGTTGTTTGTTTGTGTTTAAATGACTGCGGACACTAAATCCATTCGCCAATCTTACAATTTGAGGTGTAGTGTGTGTGCGTGTGTGTAGAGTAATTGTCTTGATACTTAGCAAAGTCGACGTCATTGTCTTTGCTAAGAGACGCTAATTGTATCCGAACGTCTGCGGTCCCTCCGGTGTGTACCGATCACACAGGGATAGAAATTATTTTCATTTATTAATTTTTTTAATAAACGAAAATTTCTACCCAGGTGGGATTCGAACTCACGACCTTTAGGTTTAAAGGCAGGCGCTCTTACCACTGAGCCACAGAGGGGGTTATATTTTTAATGTGTTGCCATTATAACTACGAAAAATATGTTCCAGTTCACTACATTTAGTTACAAATTCCAGTGTTGGTTTGAGTAAATCACCCCCAGAAACGTGGTTTACCCAAGTAAACGATTTATCGTTAGCATCCGGAACATATCCAAGTATTTCTTTTTGTGTAACTTAAATGCAATGAAACCGACTAAATTTTCCAATTTATCTCATTCCAGGTCTTTTATATTCGAATTAATAAAATCTTGATGACTGTCAATTAAATATTTAGAGACAATTTCACAATTAATAGTAATATTCGCAGACTCTGACTCTACATTTGCAGATGTTGAAATAATTTCATTTTTACCCATTATATAGTTTCTTAATCTATACTTAAACTCTATAGCAGTTGGATGATCATGTAGACCACCAATTGCTCGTAAAATTGAAAATAGGTCTTTCAGAGGGTCATGGTTAAGATTGTAAGTTAATATATATTTTACATTAAAGTCATTTTTTAATTCAACATAAAGTTGTTTTAAAGATCGTATAGACTAGTATAATTATACCTCGCTGAAATGGAAGTAAAGAGTTAGATCCAATTTTTCTTACAGCTAATATTGTCTTCTGCATTTTATTTAAAATGTCAGTTTGTTACAGATAGAGCATTTAACTTATCGTCATTAAATTTGTCTTTTTCTTACGTAACAGGTGTGCGAGACAGATGCAAAAACATGCGCGTTGATTTATTTTGTTTGTTATAGTATCATGATAAAGGGATGAATAAAATATACTATAAGTTCTTAACAAATGTAATGGTTGTCTATAGAATGAACTGTGTAACCACAGAAAAGAGTATTTTAATATTTATCAAAATCTAGGATAAGTGATAACTCGTTATCGTGATCGTTAGGACAAGTGATAACTTCGTCATTGATTATAAACCACTACCTAGATAGCCGATGATGATAGATGAGGCCATGGGAAATAATAGCACAGGATCGGAATCAATGGAAGGCAATAGTAAACGCGGCAAAAACTCACGAAGAGTTGTAAAAGCCAATGATGATGATGACCTAGATAGCTCACCTCGTGGTAATTGAAAGACGTATCAAAAACTAGATGGCGTTACTCGAAAACCGTATCGAGATTCTCATTCTCTCTCTGACATGCGAGGAGATAGGAGTGGTGTCAGGGCCGCCACCGTCAACTTACCCTATAACTGTATTATCTGTGTGAAGTGTTGTGACAAGTTATAGCGAAATTTTATAAAAAAAGGACTCACATTTTAGATAAAATGGCCTGTGTAACGCATAAATGTGTTTACGCGGGATGTTTTGAAAGAAACGATGGAACAAATAATAATATATCTTTCTTTAAATTTACCCTGAAAGACGTAGAGCGCACAAAAATTTGGCAAAAAAACTGCGGGAATATTGATATTATATTGAT